ATGATGGTGATGATGATGATGATGGTGGTGATGATGATGGTGGTGATGATGATGATGGGGGTGATGATGGTGATGATGGTGGTGATGATGGGGATGATGATGATGGTGATGATGGTGGGGATGATGGGGATGGTGATGATGGTGATGATGGTGATGGTGATGGTGATGATGGTGGGGATGATGATGGTGATGATGATGATGGTGGGGATGATGATGATGGGGATGATGATGATGATGATGGGGATGGTGGTGATGGTGGTGATGGTGATGATGATGGTGATGATGATGATGATGGTGGTGATGATGATGGTGGTGATGATGATGATGGGGGTGATGATGGTGATGATGGTGGTGATGATGGGGATGATGATGATGGTGATGATGGTGGGGATGATGGGGATGGTGATGATGGTGATGATGGTGATGGTGATGGTGATGATGGTGGGGATGATGATGGTGATGATGATGATGGTGGGGATGATGATGATGGGGATGATGATGATGATGATGGGGATGGTGGTGATGGTGGTGATGGTGATGATGATGGTGATGATGATGATGATGGTGGTGATGATGATGGTGGTGATGATGATGATGGGGGTGATGATGGTGATGATGGTGGTGATGATGGTGATGATGGTGGTGATGATGGTGATGGTGATGATGGTGATGATGGTGGTGTTGATGGTGGTGATGGTGGTGATGATGGTGATAATGGTGATGGTGATGATGGTGATGATGATGATGGTGATGATGGTGGTGATGGTGATGGTGATGATGGTGGTGATGATGATGGTGATGATGATGATGGTGATGATGGTGGTGATGATGGTGATGGTGATGATGGTGATGATGGTGGTGATGATGGTGATGGTGATGATGGTGATGATGGTGGTGATGATGGTGGGGATGATGATGGTGATGATGATGATGGTGATGATGGTGGTGATGGTGATGGTGATGATGGTGGTGATGATGATGGTGATGATGGTGATGATGATGTGCTTGGGTAAATGATGGGGCCAGATGCATATGTGGAGATCAGAGGACAATTGTGCAGCCAGTTCTCTCCTGCTACTCTAACGTGGGTTCCAGAGATCGACCTCAGGTTGCCAGGTCTGTGCACTCCAGGTGCCTTTATGCACTGAGACATCACAGCAGCCTGGCATTTGGAGTTCCTAGCATGCAGGTCTGCTAGATACTTTAGATTTAAGTATCTCCTTTATTTGGAAGTAGTGTGAGTGGGTGTTTTTGAGCACCTGACTTCCAGTTGTCTACTAGGAGCAGCATGTGGTTCGTGGTTGCTTTTTATAGGCAGCCTGGTCTACTGTGGTCCTAGGAGCTTGCCTCGACTCTGGCTGTATTCTTTACATTTCTCTGTTCACAATCCTGGTGTCTGTAGACAGTGGTGCCTTTGCTTCTCCCTTTTCTGACCCTGTGTCTTTGGCCGACTTGCCTTGCCTGTTGACCTGGGCAGGACAAGCCCACGTGAAACACAAGGGTGAGCAGTCAGGCCAGCCTCCATCCTGTCTTAAGGGAAACAGGCCTCCCTACTGCTGTGACGGGTGCAGACTGAGGGAGGGGTTCCTTCTCTTCTGGCTTGCTGGGAGTTTTTAGTGTGAACGTCAGAATTGCCCAGTCAGCTGCAGTTTTTCCAGCCTGCTCCTACAGACTACCACATCCCTCCAACACAGTCCAAGAGGCTCTCCACAGCCTCAGTGTTGCCACAGCAACCCCATTGGTGCCAGCTTTCTGTGTCAGTTGACTTCTGGCGTGATAGCAAACATCCAAGGAACCAGCTTGGAGGGCTCCAGAGTCAGAGATTGCTTTTTGTCTGTGGTGAAGTAGCACACTGATGGCAGCTCAGGTGAAATGAAGGCCGCTCACAGATAGCCAGTAGCCAGACCAGAACCAACCAGGAAGAGTCTGGGTTCCACAGCTCCTTTGAAGGCTGTGTCTTCCACTGGGTCCTCCTTAAACATTCTATCTACCACCCAATGGTGGCACAGGCGCCATGCCTTTAATGCATGCCCCCCCCCAGTAAATTGAAACAAACCACAGCATTTTGATTTAGGGTACATGTGGGGGTTTTGTTTTGTTGGTTTTCCCCCTTATTTAGTTTGCTGAAATAGTAAATTAAAATTATTTTTGAATGCTGAACCAGCATTTTATTTCTAGAACAAATCCCCACTTGGCAGAGTACAATAATGAATATCTTTATGTCTTGCTAGATTTAGCTTGCAAATAACCTGTGGAAGAACTTTGCATCTGTGTTCACAATGGACTGTAGTATGGTCTGTAATATGCTTTCCCTAGTCCCTTCCTCTCTCCTGCACCTCACCCTGTATCTTCTTTCAACAAGGTCTGACTGTGTAGCCCAGGCTAGCCTGGATCATTTTGTCTCTGACCCCTGAGTGCTGGGATTGTGGGTGAGTGCCAGCGGCCACACCCAGCTTTTGTACTGTTTTTGTCTCCTGTTGATAGGACGGTGATGCTGATCTCCTGGGTTGAGGCATCCTCCCTCTTGTGTTCTCTGGAAGATAGTATGTGGATTTCTTTGCTTCCCTCAGTCTTCTCCTTGTATCCCCTGTGATAGGAATGGAATCCCGGGGTCATGGATGCTTGTCAAGCGCTGGTTCATGACTCTGAATTGCCAGAGGTTTCTTCTTCAGAGCATTTGTGCTTCTTTGACTTTACCAGTAGTCAATTCTGGCCTGCCACCAGTTTCAGCTTGGTGAGCTTTTGAGGTTGGGGCAATAGTTTTATTTTGTCTGCTTGTGGAGTGGGTGTCTGAGATCTCTAGTGCTCTTTTATTCCTAATAAAGAGAATTTTCTGTCTTCTTTTAGTCTTTGTATGGCTGGAGGTTTTATGAATTTTTTTAGTCTTCACAAAGGAGTAACATCTGGTTTTTATTTTCTCTATTTTCAAATTATTCCTGATTTTATCTTTATTGTTTCCTTCCTAATGCCTCCTTGGTGTTCTCTCTCTCCTCTCTCTCTCTCTCTCTCTCTCTCTCTCTCTCTCTCTCTCTCTCTCCCTCCCTGTCCCTCCCTCCCTCCCTCCCTCTCTTCCTCCCTCCCTTCTCCCTCTCTCTCTCCCTCTCCCCCTCCTCTTTCCTGGTTAATTTTTTTTATGCAGCTTAGCTTGTTCAGTGGAAATCTTTCTTCCAATAGAAACACCAATACTCACTCAAATTGTGACATGCTGTCTTCATTTTTATTCCATTCCTAACACTTTCCATTTTCTTCTGGGAGACTCTGTTTCTACAGGTCCATTTCCCAGCTAACAGTGTGCTCTCCAGTTGCCTTGCTGTCGCAGTAGCCACCTCTCAATTGCAGTTTCATTTCCCATAGTTCAGTTTTCCAAGTTCTACGTGGTATGAGAATATTACATAGAAAATTCTAGAAGGAGATACTTGTAAGTTTTCAGTTGTATGGTACCCACCGTAGTGGGATGAAGTCCTGTGTGTTCCCAGAGCCTCATGCACAGCCCAGCTGGTGACCTTGGTGGCCCATTAGGGGCTGCTCTTGTATGTAGCTCTGTCTGGTGACCATAGGTGTTGATGTGGCTCAGCTGCTCTGTCCTGCCTGGCTCTCATGGTTTCCTGCCTGGGATGCTTGCCTTTGCCTCTAGCCTGCAGCCTCTTTTGTTGAGCCAGGGCACCTCCTGTGAGGGAGTCCCTTGCCTGTCCCTTCTCTGAGCATAGTGCAGTGGGACAGCCTCACCGTTGTCACCCTGTCAGTGAGGACCAGTGGGGTCTCCATCCTAACTCAGGATAGCATGGAGTCCCTGTGTTAAACACAGAGTAAAAGGGTCCTGGTCATAAACCCAAGATGGAGAGGGTTCATTCTTAAGTGGGGTCACTCTTCTTCCATGAAAGTGGTAGTCACTTCTGGTGGCACACAGCTTCTTGACATCTCCTGTGGCCAGGGTAGGAAGAGAGTCGATGGACTGCTTTCCCCACGCATGGCAGCAACCGGAGCCTGTTGCTGTCATTGTCGTGTGAGAGGAGGCCAAGCTCCGGGGCTGTGTCTCTTGTCTTCTTGCTACTTCATGGTCATGTTGAGGACCTGCTTCTCGGAAGCAGAATCCGAGACCTTCCATTTGAGACCCAGCTTGGACGTCTAAGGACCTGTCTTGCATGTGAAGCAGTGCTGTGTAGCCAGTGCTATTATTTTGTTTGAGACAGGGTCTCTCCATGTATTCCTGGCTGGTCTGGAGCTTACTGTATGAATCAGGCTAGACTCAAAGAGATCCACCTGCTTCTGCTTCCCAAGTGCTGGGATTAAAGGCATGTGCACACCTGGTATGAAGGCCATTTTAATTTAGACAGCTGTATGTTTGCTATGCTGCCCTGTTGAGCAAGTGTATTTAAGAGCAGGATTTGGGTAGAAAAGTGATCAGTATTTAAATAGGTGTCTGTGGAAAGTTTGCCAAAGCAGATGTGCAGTCCCACACCTTTGGTGGGCCTATTTGCCTTCAAGAGGTTGTTCCAGGGGTTCATGTATGTGTGTAGTGTGTCAGAGTGTGTGTACAGGTGTGGGTGGCACAGATGACTTGGGAAACAGGCAGATTTCTGCAGAAGCCGACCCGGAGGCCATGTGCTCATTGTTTGGCAAATGTTGGTACAGCTGCTCTGGATCCTGGGCATGTCACCAGACTACCCTGAGCAGGCAACACCTGTCTCCATGTAGCTCAAAGGCCTTGCAGCAGAATGTTTCGGTGAATTCATGCCTGCCTTGTGGAGGTGACTGCATGGGATGGGGGCTGCTGTCCCACAGCTAAGAGCTGTCCTGGCCTTTGGACTTTCACTGGTCTCCAGTCTCACATCCTTGCATTCAGATGTCTTTTCTCTGGCCTTTTCATCCAAGCCCTCCTGGTCGGTGCCCCTCACAGCAATGTGCAAAGGCATCTGAAACAGGGCCAGACCTGCAGTTTTCTGGGCAACTGGGCAGCGTAATAGGAAGCATGTTACAAGGCTGAGCCCTGTGTCTTGCAGGTTATGTAGCCTGACCCTGAAGAAACTGGCAGTGCTCCGGGAGCTGGAGAAGGAGCTTCTGTCTGTGGTGATCGCTGTCAAGATGCAGGTAAGCCCTCAGTGCACACCCGTGCACAGGTGTGGCCAGCCTCATTCTCACATGGTCCCTGAACTATTCTCAAACACTCCCCCACCCTACACTGAGCCACCCACCCAGAGCTTTCTTTCGTGCCTCTCCCAGGGTGACAGGCATGAACAGGAACGGAAGAGGAAACAGGATATGGGCTTTCTGGACTAGAACCTACCCCGGTGTTGTGTCTACTCCTCATAGATTGCTTGGGGAGCCTGTGACTGGATGGGCTTGGATCCCACCTCTCTTGGGGAGAGCAGCCTTGGCCCTCCAGATGTGTCTCTAGCGCTTTGTCTGCCTTTGCTATGCTGAGGATTGCCAGGTTCCAGGTCCACTCTCAGGGGACAGGATGTGGATTTTGACTCCTGGCTTCTCAGATGGAGCTCCTGGTGGCCCTCTACTGATCACCCTTCCCAGGTGTGTGGTGTGTTCAGGACAGGCGTCATGCAACCTCACACCAGGCCTCTATGTGCCTGGGAGTACCTGGGTCCCACTGAAGTAGCCCATGTTTGACCCCACCCATATGTGCCTGTGGCATTGACACATCCCAGACCTGTTGTCACAGTTGTGCTGAGCCTCGGCCCCAGGCAAGACTTTCATCTGTCATTCAGGGTCGTCTCTGTGGTTGGTACACAACCCTCCCATCCATGCAGGACCCTCCCATTTTTTCCCTGAGATGTGTGCTTGGAGTTCAGAGAGGCCCTGGCTTCTCCTTATGGTCAGTGTGGGAGGCCACTCTGCCCTAGAGGTAGGCTCTTGGCATTGGGGCAGGCAGGCAGGCAGGCACACAGGCACACACGCAGGCAGGTGGGCACACAGGCACACACGCAGGCAGGCAGGCACACAGGCACACAGGCAGGCAGGCACACAGGCACACACGCAGGCAGGCAGGTACACACGCAGGCAGGCAGGCTGGCTCCACCCCTGGGCTTTGTGCCAGGCTGCCCTTCTGCCACCTGCACAGTTTGAATCTGTCTCCTGCTCTTCCTGTGCCTGTGGTACTTCCTGGGTTTTAAGTGGTAAACCCTGTTGGCCCCACATACCCATAGCTGTGCATGGTCATTACAGGGCCACCAGTGAATGTCCCCTTGGTGGGAGCTCTTCTTGGTTTTCCCCTTCCATTTCCTGTGTGGAACCCGGCAGTGGAATCAAGTTTTAAGGATCCTGACAATATTCTTACTCCCCCCCCCCCCATGGCCCACCCAGTGAAGCCTTTGTGGTAATACTTCAGGTGCTGGTGTGAGGATGTTCTCAGCTGGTTTTCGGGACTTTAATGCGCCCTACATCAGAAGGGGGCGTGTTTTCTTGCAGGGTTCCAAACGTGTCCTGAGATCCCATGAGATTGTGCTGCCTCCCAGTGGACAGGTGGAAACTGATCTGGCGCTGACCTTCTCTCTCCAGGTGAGTCTGACCCCTGGCTAATGAGGGCCCTCCCCTGTCAGTGCTTTGGATAATGAACTCTTCCTCCTTGGTGCCCAGGGCGGTGGGCACACTCTGTTCAGTGCTCTGGAGGTGGTGGACTCACTTCCTGTGCAGTGCCCTGAGTGACAGATGTGCCCTGGTTAATTCCTTGGGGGTGAGGGACACATTTTCTCATCGACTTCCTGAGTGGTGGATATACCCTTGTCAGTGTCCTGGATGCTTTTCACACCCCTGTCACAGCCACCTGTGTTCTTTCTTGCTTTGATCTTCTCTTGATCAAGATTCTCTCCCTCCCTCGCTCCCTCACTCCCTCCCTCCCTCCCTCGCTCTTATTCCTTACTTTCTCTCTCTCTCTTTCCTTCTCTCTTTCTCTTTTCTTTTTTGCAAGGCAGCATTTCTCTGTGTAACAGCCCTGGCTGTCCTGGAACTCACTCTGTAGACCAGGCTGGCCTCAAACTCACTGAGATCCTCCTGCCTCTGCCTCCTGAGTGCTGGGATAAAAGGTGTGCACCACTTGGCAAAGGTTTATTCTTAAACAATTAGAAATTCTTATTGATTTACTCTTCCCCCCTCTCTCATAATAAAGAAAATGGAGTAATGAGATCTGTGTTAGCTGATTCATGGTTGTGACAACAAAGCACCTGGTAAGAAGCCAACCTAAGGGAGGTTTCTATAGGCTCACGGTTTGAGGTGCGGTTCGTGTGGTTGAGAAGTCCAGACTGCAGGAGCGTGAAGCAGCGGGTAATATTGCATCTGCAGTCACCGCGAACAGTGATGGCTGATGCTCAGCTCGTTTCCTCCAGCCTGGGCCCCGAAGAACTACCTACATTTAGGATGGGTCTTTCTTTTCACCTCAGTTAGCCTAATGCAGACACTCCTGCCTGGAGCCCCCCAGGTTCTTTCTCCTAGGCAATTCTAGATCCTTCCAGGTGACAATATTGAGCATCACAAGGAACAAATACATTGTCAGGCCAGAGTTATTTTACTTTCTTGTTTAGCAAAGATTGTCAGAACTTTGTGGAAACTCAGTATAGTAAGTTCAGAGTCCTTTTGAGTGCCCTGTGGAGAATGCAGACTGTCAACCCAGATCTTCTGCTTTGTGCTTTTGTGCACTGCTGTAGAGGATCCAATTCACTAAAATGTAACTTACCAAACACACCTGTGTCGAGTACCTCGCACCC